TCCTGTTCGTCAGATCCACAGCTGACAATCAAACGCTTTCATGCTGATCTGAGAACAGCTTCAATTCAACAAACTCGTTTGAATTTCAAAGTCAGTCAAATGTAGCCTATTTTTTTATAACTGGCACCAAAATATGTTTATTATATTAGATCACTGAAACAACATGCATGCTTAAAAGTTAATTCTTCTGTCATGACTCATTACTTACAGTTTATCATTTATTTGTAGTTTGTAGTGTATGTGTATGTGTCCAGCCATGTGTGCCTGATGTGACTACAACACCTGAGCTCATCTACATCATACAGCTCGAATCTCTTCAATCTGGCAAATAATGTGCTTATGATAAAAATACTTTCATAGACATTGGTCATTCTATCTCGTAGCCTCTACACCATAATTACACACATCACATGTCAATTAAATATATCAAATCAATTTGTTGTATTCTGTTATATCGTCTCTCAACTAATCAGGATGTTGTTGAAAAAAAAAAAAGAAGCTGATTACCTGGAAAAAGAGCAAATAGTTTTTGTTCACGAGGAAAACACTGAGACGGGCCGTTGGCGCGACGCTTTCTCGGCAGTTGCGCATGCGCGTTTAGTACAAAGCGGGAAAAATTACAACGTTCGTGAAATGGCGGCGACGCGTCCAACATCGATTAAAGTAGGTTTAGTTTGCTTTGCTTTTAGTGTAGACACGGTGTTTATTAATGATTGATGCAATTAGCTATCACAACTTATGTGACTAAACTTTACATTATAAGTCAGCACAAACACTTTAAGTTGAAACGAGTCTTTTTAAGCCCTTTTAACTTAAAAATAAATCTGAGGCTGGTTGTTTTGCTCAAAGATACAACAGTATTAAAACAGATTTTTAATCAGTAGCCTAACGTTATATCATTCTGTGATTCATCTAAACCTGTCAATCACAGCTAAATGTTATAATATATAGCTACACAAATGATGTTCTTCCTCAGTGTTTCTGTCGTGTTTTCCAGCACAAACATCTAAACATTCTCAAATCAAGACACATTTACTGGAGAAGAAGCAACATTTTGATAAAATATTTATCAAACAAGACTTTCTATCCGTCATTTTGCTTCTCCGGTAAATATATCTTTATTTAAGACGGTTTAGATATTGAAACACCGAGGAAGAGCATCACTGCCCGAGCCGGATCTCTTCACATCCATCATCTCTGGCTTTATATGAATATGTGGAAGGATTTTAATGATCAGTGAAGTGATTTCTCACACATAAACTCCTGCCGTGATTTGAGTTTTGGATCCATCATCAACACTGAGCGACACACGAGCGTAATCTACTGCACATCAGCTCAATACAGCACTTATACATATAAACTTATACATAAACACTCAGAGTGATGATGCGGCGTCATCTAACTTCACTAATATCTCACTGTGATCTGAACTCATTTATGATTGACAGTTCCCTGTGTCCGTCCGTCATCACATCTCCTGAACACACACACTCTTAGGAATAAAGATACTGTGAAGAACATCTCAATGAGTTTTAGTGAAAGGATTCTGTGGAAGTTAAACGATATCGATGCCGATAAAGAAGCTTTACTTTTAAGAGTGTATAAGCAAGTTTAATATTATATTCAGTCATAACTCAGATGTTCTCCTGATAACTGAACTGTCCTTTAATGTATTCCACAGTTTTGGAGAAGTTTGAGATCATCAGACTTTGATAAAACTGTCAAAACTTTCATAGCGGCTCTGAAAAACATCTTACCTTCATCTGGTGAGTAGCGGGAAGGGTTTGGCGAGCTCCAGCGGTGTGTGTGTGTGTGTGTGTGTGTGTGTGATTGAAAGCCCCCCTCGGAGACTTCTCGACTCGCTTCCTGTGTGAGATTAACATCAGCCAATCCTCCGATGATCCTCACACACACTCGCTCGATATGAGAAGCCACACAGGAAGTGATCATTTCCTTCTGATCTTTTTCTTGAAACACACACACACACACACACTGTGACCACACATACATAGATACCACACACACTCACTCAAACATCACACACACACACTCACTCTCTCTCTCTCTCTCTCTCTCTCTCTCTCTCTCTCTCTCTCTCTCTCTCTCTCTCTCTCTCTCTCTCTCTCTCTCTCTCTCTCTCTCTCTCTCTCTCTCTCTCTCTCTCTCTCTCTCTCTCTCTCTCTCTCTCTCACACACACACACACACTCAAACATCTCTCTCTCTCACACACACACACACACACACACACACACACACACACACACACACACACACAGAGTGGCTGAATTTATCAGTAATTCTAGTAAGTTCTTCTCATGTGTGTGGTTCAGCATGCGTGATGTGTGTGGTTCTGCTGTTGATGTTGATGATGATGTGTGTGTGTGTGTGTGTGTGTGTGTGTGTGTGTGTGTGTGTGTGTGTGTGTGTGTGTGTGTGTGTGTGTGATCGGACACAGCGAGATCTTCTGTGTTCACGAGTTTAGACGTGTTAACCCGTTTGCCTAATTTGGTTTTTTGGGTCAATAACCAGCCTTTTAAAATCTCATTAGTCTCCCATTATGCTATACCATCACCACATATGAAATTCAATCTCTTTGTCCACTTGTTTTCGTTATACAGTACGCATCATTAGGGAAGACCTTAATCATTATTTCTGATAGCTAACGACATCATTCAGTGGTGATGATGATACAACCCGTGCATGTGGGAAAATCTAAATAAAGCAAAGAAATAATGTCTGTACGGGAATCAAACGTCAGTGTTTAGACGTGTTTGTAGGCTTGAAAACAGTGTGTGTGTGTGTGTAGTGCTGAATCATGGGATACGCTGTGGAAGTGTGTCCTGAACGATCCTGATGACACTAGCAGGAAAACCACATTCATACACAGCAGATGATATGTGTGTGTGTGTGTGTGTGGTGAGTCTGAGCATGATCAGTTACACACACTTACACATGATCAGTTACACACACTAAACACACACACACACACACACAGATTAAACACTTACACGTGATCAGTTACACACACACACACACACACACACACACACACACACACACACACTAAACACTTACACATGATCAGTTACACACACACACACACGATCAGTTATACACACACACACACACACACACAGACTAAACACTTACACATGATCAGTTACACACACACACACACACACACACGATCAGTTATACACACACACACACACGATCAGTTATACACACACACACACACACACACGATCAGTTATACATACACACACACACACACAGACTAAACACTTACACATGATCAGTTACACACACACACACACACACACACACACTGAATAAGTTTATAGACAGTGAATCATGCAAACATCCAGATCTGATTAATCTGGGCCGATCACAGAACAGGCCACATCACACACACACACACACACACACACACACACTCTAAATAAAAAACATCACGAAATCTGACATCGTACTCGAACACAGACGATTTTACTGAATAACTGTTGCACAATCACTGAGGAGAAAAACACGACCAGAGGAGCCGAAGAGAGATCAGCCAACACACACTCGCTCTCTCACACACACACACTCGCTCTCTCTCTCACACACACACACACTCTCTCTCTCTCTCTCTCTCTCTCACACACACACACACTCTCTCTCTCTCTCTCTCACACACACACACACTCACTCTCTCTCTCTCTCTCACACACACATACTCTCTCTCTCTCACACACACTCTCTCTCTCACACACACACACACACACACACACACACACAGATAACAGTGCAGAACTGTGTGTTGTTCTCAGGTTACTCCTCGGCTCGTGTTGCTCAGTAACTCAGAGAACGGCAGGTTATGATTATAAACACAGAAAACTCAAACGCTCCAGCACTTCAGTCTCTGCACACAAATATGATCAGAATTTCCTAGAACAACACACACACACACACGCTCACACACACACACGCGCTCACACACACACAATCCAGCAAAAGACAGAAAACCACAGTACACCAGATCATAGCAAAAATAACTTTATTAATGAACAATTCCTTCATATGAAACATGTAATAAACAGAACACACAGATCATGTGAAGAGAGGGAGCTTCTGTAACTCACACACACATATAAACACACATTACACACATTAGCAGCCGTGAAAACTGAGCATTATTGTATTAAAGTATAACCGTTTTATTTCACATGCATATGTCCATATATCTGAATACACGTCTGACGACAGCTCTGCGATACTGGAGCGCGACTGAAGATATTAAAGATAACATCAAGATGCCGTTGTTCTCGTTTAAACACAAAATCACTTCATTTTGACACAGTTTCCATTAAACGACTTATCTTCAGTCATGTGCACTCGGTGTATTTGTACAGCCAAGAGCAATATAATGTTGCTTTTTATAGAACAAATATATATATTTTGCTGCTCAGTTGTTTTCATCCACACAGTAGGAGCCAAACGGAGACGGTCACTGTGATGGGAGAGTTGTGTCAGTGTGCAACACCACAGCTTAGGTTTATTGGGATTTATTATCAAACTAATTTATTATCATCAAAATAAAGTGAGTTTGAGCTCAAAACAAGAACAAATATCAGCCGATGGAGACAAATAATCTTGTTTTCCTTTTGAATTAAGTTTATTTTTCGGACTTTTGATTTGTTCTTTAAGCACAAACTCGCTTCAATTTGCATATTTTTGACGTATCTTCTTACATGTTGCTTCTTCTCCAGTAAATGTGTCCTGATTTGAGAGTGTGTAGATGCTAGTGCTGGAAAACACGAGACAGATTGCAGTGAACGATTCATAACCTTTCATAAAAAAAATATAATAATGTGTTGTAGGTTTGAAACACATTGACCCGGCGTTACTTCCAGTTATCCAGGAGTGCGACTCGCCGACTAGCTTCAGTTCTCCAGCTAACTCGCACCGGCGACCGCAGGCGCTACACCAGCACAGCGAAGAGCGGCGTCTCCGGCTCACTTCCAGTCGAACGTCTGTCCGGCGAGCTGGAAGAACTTCAGGTTGGGTTCGTGGAAGTACTGCTGGAGTTTGCGCAGGACCTCGGGCCTGACGCGCGGGTGTGTGCGTCCCTTGGAGCGGTGGAGGCAGCGCTGGCGCCGGCGCTCGCGCAGACAGTAGAAGCCGCGGGTCTGGTTAAAGTAGAAGTGCGAGGCGCTGATCTGCGGCTCGAGCTGCAGGAACTGCTCCACCCTCGTCATCTCCGGCAGCGGGTCGCGGATCAGCGCGTCTCCGTCCACCAGGTGCAGCCGCGCGCGGGGGAACACGGCGAGCCAGCGCTGCAGGTGCACGTGGTACAGGCTGCGGTTCAGCGCCTTGTAGTCCAGGTTGAGCTCGCCGTCGCGCATTAGCAACGCCTCCAGCGACTCCTGGCGTTTGCGCTTCTCCAGGCGGTTGTGGAAGAGCTGCACAGCAGGCGCTCCGTCGGCTCGCGCACGATTAGCATTAGCCGCACGTCGGGAAGGGTTTGCAGGATTCGCTCGGGGACGCGGCTGGACGTGAAGTACGCCGGCGTCTTCTCCACCGTCAGCTGACCCGGCCGCGCGCGCGGCATCTGAGACACGTACCAGTCCACGCCGCGCTGGAAGTGACTGTCCCAGTCGAAGAAGTGCACCTCGTTCTGCGCGGCCACGACCTCGCTGTGGAGGCTTAGCATCTCGATGAGCGCGCGCGTGCCGCCCTTCCTCACGCCGATGATGATGACGTCGGGGAGGCGGGGTGTGGCGTCGGCGGGCGGGGGGGCGGAGCCTCGCGGGGAGACGAACGGCGGGAAAACACACAGCAGAGCGAAGACGACGGCAGCCATGTTCAGGCGGACAGCACACACACACTCACACGCCTCTGAGGAGGAACACACACACACCGCATGTTTATACATCAACAACATCAGTGTGTACGAGAGAGATTCTACAAGCTCTCGTCTTAGTCAAACTCGCAATTATGAATATTATGTAATCTGGCACATCATACACAACAAGAATAAAGCCTGTCATGCAGATTAAAACGTGAATTCAGTGATTATGAAAGCTCATTTTGCCACATAAGGGGAGATTAAAAGTCAAAATTCTGGCTTAAATGTCGGTAACACTTTACAATAAGGTTCATTAGTTAACTTTAGTTAATCAATGTATTACCTAACATGAACTAACCATGAGAAATACATTGTTTACTGTATTTGTTAACGTTAGTGAGCCTGACAGCACACACACACTCGCACGCCTCTGAGGAGGAACACACACACCGCATGTTTATACATCAACAACATCAGTGTGTACGAGAGAGATTCTACAAGCTCTCGTCTTAGTCAAACTCGCAATTATGAATATTATGTAATCTGGCACATCATATACTAGGGATGAACGATATATCGGCCACCATATCGGTATCGGCCGATACATGTTCGTTTTAATGTCATCGTTATCGGCCTGATAAGAAAATGTGGCCGATATATTAAAACTGATAAATAATGCATTATTTCCTTCAGATGAGACTCTTCAGATGCGCACTGTTCAACATGATGGTTCTGAAATATGATTGGAATCACTTCAAAAAAGGAAAATACAGTTCAGTGCAACATGTGCAGCGCGAGTCATATCGGTTACATAACATTATGAGAACATTATAATTGTGTGTTTGGGACACAGCTTTTAATGGGGAGACTTTTGTTTTTGTAATCAGGCTCTCAAAAATTATATACAAATTTGGATATAGATTTAGATTTATCGGCTAATATATCGGTTATCGGTTTTCAAATATAAAGAATTATCGGTATCGGCCAAAATGTTTATATCGGTGCATCCCTATCATATACAACCTGTCATTCAGATCAAAACATGTGCATTCAGTGAAATAATACTATAAACACCTCGTATAATTATGGAAACTCATGTTGCCATATAATGAAAAAAAAGTCAACCTTTTGTAAACCATTTATTAAAAGTCAAAATTCTGACTTAAAATTTTCATAATTATCAAAAAGTCATGGGATAGAAAGTAATAATATCAGCATTTTAGTTTTTAATCTACTAATTATGACTTAGTTTACAATAATTGTGACTTTTCATGCCATAATTAAGATTTACCAAAGCATGATGATATTCTCCCCTCGTGTGTATGTGTCGTTAAACCACACAGATCTCGGAAACTTCCCAGGCTAAAGTGTTCGATTTTGTTTAAAAAAAATGTTTTTGAAGAAAGACAAACATTAATAGTAATGAAATCCAAAATATTAAATGGCATGAATGTATGTTTATTGAGTAATCCACTATTTTTTAGAGGAGATTTGGAGCAAAAGTACAGGCGTGGTGTAAATGACTTTAGAAATATTACAGCAACAATATTTTATTTTTAAAGATAGATTTGTGGGTCTATTAGTTCTGTTGACTTAAGAAACACTTGTTGCTTTATATGCCATTTAAAAATGGGAACAAGCACTTGTTCCCTAAAGTGTGCATGCGTGTAACTCTAGATAAAGATATCTCCTGGTAGATTCTGCTGCTGAAACTTATATCGGTCTCTCCATTTTAAAGACTCAATATGGTTCAGTTCCAGAGAATCAGGATGGCGTGCGGCTCCAAGTGCAACCCACCGAACTCTAGCAGCTGATACTTATTATATTTAAAGAGGAATGTTTGAACAATAAATAATGAAAAACTAGAAACTTCCCTTCTTTCCTTCTATCAAAACAATTGCATTGAACATACCAATTTAAACAATATTTCAGTGCCAAAGATGCACTGACAAAAGTGAAGATACCAAAAGAAAAGTTTCTTAAGAACCAGAACATATTGAGATATCTGAATTATTTTTTAAGTTATGGCATGTAAACAAACCTGAAAAGTGCTTTTCCCCACTCGTTAACTGACACTTTTGATATTTAATGCGTTTAATATCAGTTTGAGGATCCAGTAATAATGCTGTAATCTTTCTCATCATTCTCTCCCTGTAATGTCTCTCAGGTGAAAACTCTTAAAAATAGTGGGTTACTCAGTAAATATTCATCCATGGCATTTCATATTTTGGTTTTCATCACTATTTATGTCTTTCTTCATAAAGAATATAAACAAGATGAGTTGACACGGAATGCCCCACATATGCTTTATGAAACAGATTCTGCTTTCTGACAGATGAAACAGTCATTTTCTGAGACATTATTAAGCTGAACTGCACTTTTTTCCCCATTTCTGCTCTTTAAAAGATTATATTTACCAAGTAACAAGGAAATTAATCATTTAAAGATAATCTCGTGACTCAAACCATCCTGTCAATAATTGAGCATGAACAGTCTTACCTGCCGATCGAGTCCATGAGGACAAACTCTTCATGAAGCCATCCGGAGAATCTCTCACACACTCTCTCTCCCACAAACACACACACACACACACACAACAGTGAAAGTTTCACACTAGCTCACGTGCACGCGCGCTGTGAAGGTCCTGCACAACACTGCCCTCACATAAAGCGCCGCGCCCCGCGCTGACGTCACAGCCGACGCCCCGCCCCCTTCCGGTGACGTCTTCACATTTCCAAGCAGCTTTACGACAACCATGATGATAATGTTTAGAATATCTTAAACCCTTTATTAAACCCTTATAATCGTATTCAGCAGATTACAGCTGTTCAGATAAAAGAAAATCTATATAAAACACGTTTAACGTTCTCATTAAGATATTAAACCATATTAGATATTTTTTTTATTTGATTTCATTTGATTTTTCTCTGGTAAATTTACAATGAAATAACCACACGAAAAAAAGGAGTAGGCTGAAGCCGAGGCTTATGTTTGCCTGCTCTATACAGATATTAGAAATGTTTTCTCGGTTTTATGAATGTTAAGGGAACATTCCATTTGATCATTCTTCAAAATATATGGGAATGATATTATAGCTATTATGATTATTATTAAAAACCAGATAACTTTGAACGAATGTTCTTTTAACGTTACTATCTATCTTCCATCTTCTCATAATTATAGTGGAGTCAGTGTGTGTTCACTGTTACAGACGCTGTTTCACACACACACACACACACACACACACACACACACACACACACACACACACACACACACACACACACACACACACACACACACACACACACACACACACACACATCAGTGATTCATGGCAGATTGTTTGATATCAGATCCGCTCCATTAACAAACACTAATGAATAACCCTGATGATGTCACACACTGATGTTAAAGCCTGTAACGCATCATCACCTCACTGCACCTACTTCCTCCAGTGAGTAAACACACACACACCTGAACCACACACACATACACACACACACACAAACACACACACACATACACCTGAACCACACACACATACACACAAACACACACACACACACACACACACACACATACACCTGAACCACACACACACATACACCTGAACCACACACACACACACACATACACCTGAACCACACACACACACCTGAACCACACACACACCTGAACCACACACACACATACACCTGAACACACACACACACACACACACACACACACACACACACACACACACACACACACACACACACACACACACACACACACACAAACAAACACACACATACACACACACACATACACCTGAACCACACACACACACACACACACACATACACCTGAACCACACACACACACACACACACACAAACACACACACACATACACCTGAACCACACACACACACACATACACCTGAACCACACACACACACACACACACACACACACACAAACACAAACACAAACACACACACACACACACACACACACACACATGCTCTCTCTCGCACGACACGACACACACACACACACATTTGTTTTCATACAGTATCCGGAAGTCATCAGACGTAAGATCATCATCAGTGTTTCTCTCGGTGTGTGTGTTCTGTTCACTGGACTTTGCTCTGCTGTAAATCTGCAGTATTTCTGAATAATCATAAACAACCAGAGATCAAAGACTGTAAACTCACAGATCCGCCACTCTTGAATCGCTTCGCTCTTGAAACATGATAATATCTGAGAGGTACAGTACCAGAGCTTGTTCAGCCCGGCGCCCCTTGTGTGAGAAAGGTCTTCAACACGTGTTAAAACACACGTCGGCAACACTTTACAGGTTCATTAGTTAACATTAGTGAACTACATTAGCATGAACTAAGAATGAACAATACTTCTACAGCATTAATCCATCTTAGTTAATATTTAATTTCAACATTTACTACGTTATTAAAATCAAAGGTTGTATTAGTTAACATTAGTGAATGCACTGTGAACTAACATGAACACACACTTAACAGCTGTATTATTATTAACTAACATTAACAAAGATTAATACAGGTGAAACTCTTAGAATTAGAATATCGTGTAAAATTTTGTGTATTTCAGTAATTCAAATTAAAAGGTGAAACTAATATATGTACTATACTGTATATAACAATATACATTTGCATGGTTATACTTTTCAGAGGGCCGACATTTCTGTATTTAAAATACTTTTTTATTGATTTCATGTAATAATTTAATTTTCTGAGATTTTGAACTTGGGATTTCATAAGCTGTAAGCCATAATCATCAAAATTATAACTTTTGCAAGATATTCAAATTTTTCGAGTTTCACCTGTAAATACTGTAACCAATAGTTTGCTATTTCTTAGTTAAAGCGTTTACTTTACTGTGTTATATTATTCATTATTATTATTATTACAGTGTCCTCTGAGAGAAAGAACATGTTAT